CTTTTATGTAAATTAATAAAATCAATGACATATTATAAGCTTAACTTTGATGCATGGAAAACGAAAGCTACACACTTTCATGCAGCTGACACTCATCATGCTTCCCATGGACTCTTAAGATTTTCAACAGAGATTTTTTCTCCACGCGGATTTATATTAATCTATTTAACTAATCGAAATAGTACAATATCATTTTTTAAAAGGAGTTTTCCTTTGCTAAAAGTATATAGAATGCTCTGTGTGTGATATATAAAGTTTAATGTAAAAACCAAAAATATAGATATGTTGTTATTGTCACTGTAGACTACAAAACAAAATGCCAAAAAAAAAAAAAAGTGTTATCTTATAAACAAATATATAGATTTAGGGATCGATTTATGTACTTCATTCACTGCTCAAACATTTCAACAGGTTATATTTCTCATCCAAAATCTTATACTATCTAATGTATGGCTTTGAATAAATCAAAAAAATCATAATGGGACCATATCTCTTGTAGTGATAAACTCCAAGAAGCTTATAATCATTGAAATCTTTATATTTGAAATATTTTTATAAAAAGACACTTTGAGTTATTCCTTTTTTTGTTTGTGGGGTTACTTATGTATGAATGTAAAGTTGGACCCCAAAAAATGGGCCTAATTTCGCTTTTCTTCTTCATTCTTTACTTACTAGACAAATTAAATAAAAGAAATATATTATATGGTAACATATTGACCTATAGGTATTTGCATGGTATCCCTATGATTACAAATGTGTTGGGAAAATATTATAATTCTTTTTAGGCTTGACGTAATATACAATCTATAGTTTTTAAAACATACTGTATTAAAAGTCACCTTAGAGAGAGATAGGGATAGAGAGGATCCTCAGTTCCTCACTATGCCTGTAAAGTCCCTTTTATTCAGTTTGCTTCGTCCCTTTTCTTTTGGGTCTACTCAAAAAAAATTATGGCTTAAAAGAAAAAACTCCAACTCAAATGTAAGTTTTTCTTTTTAAATAGTAAAATTTGATGATAACATAAAAAGTTGGGATTTTGGTCTAATGTGTCATATACTGTAGCAAAACTTATAGAAATTACCACAACATTTGTCTTTCCAAATGTGCCATAACGGTGGATAAGACTTTGAAAATTTTTTGGTAGATAAGAAATGTTGTCTACCTTTGAAACAACAGATTGGGAAGATATTTGGTGGACAAAAAATCTTGTCCACCTTTGAACTAATAGACTTTTGGTGGAATATAATTCGAAACAACATATAAAAATTTTGGTAGACAAGAAATGTTGTCCACCATTATGGCACATTTGAAAAGATTTATGTTTTGTGGCAATTTTGCAAAGTTTTTAAACAGTAAGTGGCACATTAGTTAGATTTCTCTAAAAAATTTGCTTCGTATCACATAAAAAGTTTATGTAGACAAAAATAAGCGATATATAGTAAACTATTTTACTGTTGAAGTTCGAGTTTGTACACGATGTTGCCCAACGCTATAAATGTTTAATTTCCTAACATCCTTCAATTTCACTCGAATATTGGAGACACTATTATTCTATTGCTTGTTCATTTGTTTCCACAAGTGAAATCTGCTTTCCATATTATAACCAAAAGATCGAACTAAAGCTAAAGTTATGGGTTTAATATTAAAACCGAAACCCAAAGTCATTCCACTTATACTAAGAAAAAAATATTATATTCAAGTTGTATCCTCTTATTTTAATTTACTACTTCCATTTCTTTTGATATAAATTCATTGATAAATTTTTGATTTTTGATCATATGTATTTCTTGATTTATAATAAACCACTAATTATTTCTGTTGATGTTTTTTTTTGTTTGTCAATAACATGCATTCTAGTATATTTGAATCCTAATAGTGAATATAGTAACCACATTTATTATACAAACAGCTATACTATAAGTTTTGGTATAAAGTAAAAATTCTTAATTATAATAGCTTATGAAAGAAACACAATAATATCGAAGTAAATGCCAATAACTAGTGACATGTGATCTCCTCTAGGCTCTAGCTGATGAGTTACATAAATGCAGAAGGCCATAAGAGTTTACTGTTTAATACCATTGAACAGTACGAGATTACCATTAGTATGTAAAATAAAACTGGTAATGACTAATGAATATGTATGATAAAATTAAATAATTGTAATTGGATCCAGTTAACTCAAATTGGTTCAATCAGTACAAAATTTTGATGTTTACTAAAATCTTTAACTTGTGTCATGTGTCATAAATGCATATTGACGGAACAAAATCTACTGATTAATAAAAACGCAAAAATAATGTTGAAAGTCAAAATACGATTAAAGGTAAATCGAATGTTTTGATATTTTTGTTTAGTACTAATATTTTGGTGAGTCAAGTTACAAAAACTAGACATAATTACCATTTACCACTAGGTTGGCTGTTACCATTTTAAATATCGGTCAACAAAAAGTCAGTAATTTTTGAAGCTAGACAACCGATTAATTTACTCTTTTCTTTTTTCGTTTTGACTTAGCCGATTACTAAATCTAAATCAAATCAGTAATTTTTGTATCTAACTCTTGGAACGTTAGGTAGCTAACAAAATTTTGAACATTGGTCGTTCGTTACTTATTGAAAGTTTGAAACTAAACCAAATCCAAAACGAAAAAGAAAGTAGTGCTCTGGTCAAAACACAAGTTTAAACCCAAGAACCTTGAAATTAGTAATTTTGGT